AGCTTCGCGGGCTACAGTCCATGGGGTCGCAAGGAGTCAGACAAAAGTGAAACAACTTAGCATGCATGCATGCACATACAAAACTAACACAACATTGCAAATTAATTATACTTCAATAAAATAAATATACTTCAATAAAATAAATAGATTACACCTGAAGAATCAAGGTTAAAAAGCCAAAAAATATACTTTTAGAATTCTTTCTTCCAACAGTATTATAATCAATGCTATTCCTGAATTTCTTTATGAATCAAATTCACAAGAATATATAAGATAATCTATTTTAAAAATAAAATAAAAAATCAAAGGCACTCTTTTAAAAGGCATTGGGAGTTACTTTTCAAATACCTCATTTTAAATGAATTTTTCTAAAACAGATGCCACTTATATATATTTTTTCAATTTCTCTAAATAAATGTGTTTATAATGTTTCAATGGGCATTCAGTGTGTGCAACAGTTTTATGAAAGAACTATGTTTTCTCCAACATCTCCATCTACTGGCTTAGAGAAAAAGCATATTTTTATCTGCTATTTCTTTAAATTTAATATTTTTAATTTATTTTTTATGAAATTGAAATATCAAAGTATTAAATTATTTTTAAATAGATTAATAGCTATTTGTCAGTCATTCATTAAAAAAATAGGAACAATTTTGAAGAAGACATTTAATAATTTTAATTCCAAAGCCCTATGTGATCAAATATGTTCATAGCTCTTTTAGACAATTTTATTTTAACCAGGTTTTAATAATGAGCACAACATTAAAGTTTATCAAAACTTTTTAGAATGCAAAAATGTTTATTATTTCCTAAAACCTGTTGATTTTGTTAACCTATATACAATATGTGCATACACATGTAAATATCACATTTATTATTTTCATTAAAATGTTGTTACTGTAATAAATTGCTTTTGTAGAAACAATTAGAATATCATCACATCCTCAGACCAAACTGCTCAGACAAGACCCAGTGGCAATGTACAGGAAAGGCCTCCAGGCCCATAAGGATTTGAAAACTATTGGAAAGAGAATTAAGGGGAAAGTTTAGGGAAAAATGAATTACTATAGGAATAGCATTCATTTATTCTCTGATGACCAGAAGGTACTCAACAAACACTGACGCTGAAGCGGGAGGTGAGAAGAAGGAAAGGAGCGAGAAAGGAAGGAATTCTTGAGGCCCATCACTGATTTAACTGTTGAACATCAGATGCTAAGTTATTTATTTTTCTGGTTTCATGGACTTTCTCATGTTGAAGTCTTAAGTTGGAGCAAGCTTGAGGGGGAAGAAAAATAAAACCTTAGTAGGCTCTCTAGCTAAGAAGAAAGAAGGAAGAAAGGAAATGGGGAGGGAGGCAGAAAAAGGAGAAGGCAAAAAACTGAAAATCTGTCTTTATTTCCTCAGGTACCATGGAAACAAATGGGAACAAGTAGGTACTTGAATTATCCCACTGTGACTGTGAAAGAGGGCGTGGGAGGGAGTTCAGAGCCTGCACAGCATTTACCTGGTTCAGAATGTAAGGACTTCACTTCATTTGCAAAACTTTAACCCATTCAGCGGGCCCTGCCATGTCAGTCTCAGCATCCCCAAAGCAGCCCCTCCATCTCAGGGATACAATCAAATTAGCAAACTAAAGTCTTTGCTATTTTGCAATTATATTATTAAGATTCACAATTTTACTTTCTTAATACATTAAATTTATATATTACACAGGGTTAAATCTACCCTATGGGATTTTTATGTTTTAACTCAGAGGAAGGGCAAGCTATTTTATGAACGCTGACTGATGATACATATTTTAATGGTAGAATTATGAAGTAGAATTCCTTAAATTTCTGTAGGAAATGGGAGAAAGTCAGGTTGGTTTCCGCTACCTACATGTTTGACACTGCTGCTTCCACTTCATAAAGGAAAGAATCAAGGATTCCCCTGACTGAGGAGCCAAGGAAACAAAGGCTAAACATTGGAGAAAAAGCCTTGAGTAGGATTTAAGTGCTCAAGACTCATCTTTAATAAATTTGGTATCAGAGATTTCCACTCATTTCTGAACTGCTCACTTTGTGAATGCAGTTTATATGTAAGTATCTCTCCCTCTGAAAAAAAATAATTTTACATTCTCTGTTACTCTTGGTTTAAAAAGAAAAAAAAAAGGACACAAACACTTCATTTCATTTTGCAAACTCTGTATTGTAAAATTCCTAAAGGAATGAAAAAATTGAGCCACAAAAATTTTAAGTGCCGAGTAGATGAGTTAATGTCAACTCCAGAAAATTCTACTCAATGAGTGATAGAATAGAATTTTTTCTTCTGTAACTAGTTCTATTCAGCAATCTGTAAGATTACTCATAGCACAGGAGTTGCAGAGGCCATGGTTCTGAATTCCCATGCCAGAAACTTGAAAATACATTCAGATCCTCACTGTCATTTATTTTAGTGTCATCGAATAACCCATGCAGGAGCAACTTTGGGACATGGAGACATGCAACCTTTTATTTCAGCTTCATTTTCTGAGAAAAACAAAATATCGATGCACGGTGAAGATTTGATTTTCCCATTTTCTTAGAATTGGGCTTCCCTTGTGGCTCAGCTGGTAAAGAATCCACCTGCAATGCAGGAGACCTTGGTTTGATCCCTGGGTTGGGAAGATCCCTTGGAGAAGGGAAAGGCTACCCACTCCAGTACTGTAGCCTGGAGAATTCCATGGACTGTACATCCCATGGCTTCACAAAGAGTCTGGCACAACTGAGTGACTTTCACTCCACTCACTTGGATGGTTTAGAATTGTCAAGCAAATTAAATTGTGTTTCTGTTTTTCTAATGAAACCCATCTCTTATTACATGGATGTATCCATTCTGTGGAACTTTATGTATTTATATCTGTATTTAATATGTGTATATTTTCTGTCTGCATATCTTATGTCAATAAAATTTACATTAAATAAATTATTCAAAAATATTGAGACTGAGGACCTAAACTAGTCACTTAACCTTAACTAACCATAATCTTTAGTCTTTACAAGCCCCAGCAGAGTCATTCAGTATCTGGAATGAGGAAATACTCATTTCCTTTAGGGGACCTAACTCCCCTGCTCTCAGCCAGACCCTGGCATAATTCTCACCAATGAATGAACTTCTACATCATTGACCATTTTCAAAACGCAGAGATATCGATTCTTTTCACCTAGTTTTAAAAACCTAAATCCTCCCAATAATCCTAGTCTTGCCTTAGGTTCATTACTTTCCGCAGCATTTTCACACTAGTATACAATTACAAACAGTTGGCTATTTAGACCAAACTCACAATTCAGACGGAAAAAAAAAAAAAAACAACAACCGGAGACCTGGTATCAATTCAAATGAATAATCTAATTCTGGTAGATAAATAGGTCAAATTATAAAGGTCTTCAAAAATTAAACTACAGCCGGTTTCTTTGTGTATCTACGTGCTAAAATTTTTCAAGATATTCTTACAGTCTTTTAGGAAGATTTTTTTAAAACTGAAAATTCACTTAAGTCTCAGTCTCTCTTCCTCCCACCTCCTTCCCATCATGCCCAGTTTCTTTTCTCTCTTGGAATCAACATGTGAAAAAAATATATATACAGCACTGAAATCTTCTTAAATCTGCTTTCATAAACAGTTTAATTCTAAGCATCTAACAGCTCCATAACAATGACCCCTGTTCTATCAAAGACAGTTGCTTCATTCCTTCATTCACTGGGTTGATGGCAGTTTCAAAATGGACTGAGGATGTTCCTGACACTACAATCAAACTAACCATGGAATATACGATTAAAGCTCAACATGGGGACGTGGGATGATAACCAGTTGTTTGTCTAACGTGGGGACACTGCAGTTGGGATTTTTCGGTGGTAATTTTCCGCTCCGTCCTTTACAGGGAAGCCAGAGTGGGAGGTGAGGCATCTGCAAATCCCCCTGCGAAACTGTCAACTCTGCAATAAACACCAAGAGCATCAAGTCAGAAAGGAGTCGCCCCAACCTAGTCGGCAGGGCAGGATAGCAGCTGCCCGCAGAGGGCAGGGGGTCCGGCGGTAGCCGCACCGCCCACGTCCGCGCGGGGGTGGCCGCGCCTGGACCCGGGCCAGCCGGTCTTTCCACTGAACCGTGCGGAGACTTAATTGCTTGAATCCTATTACTTTGAAGCCTGGATGTAGCTTCACGGCGGGTCCCCAAGTACTGCACGCCGCGCTGGGACTAACAGGATGGCTGCAAAGACTAAAATGGCTGATCGGCTGGCTACTTCTCCAGATTCCAAACTCGGCGCATGCCACCTCTTTCAGTTCCTTTTCTTCCCGCATCCTCTGTGGGAGCCCCGCGACTTGAGAACAAAGCCCCCAGCCCGCGAGAGCCCATGGTGCCCGGCGCACGATCGCCCCTGGACTCGGGTTGCGGCTCCCGGGGCAGCTAGGAAGGACTGCACGGGTTCCCCGGCCTGCGTCAGCCTCGCTGCACCCCTCGGTGGGCCTTATGTAACGACCCCAAACCGGCTATGGGACCTGTGTGACAACCTGTCCCGTCTCGGGGCAGAATACAGGCTCGCGGGGTTCACACAGTGACCCGGAGCGAGGCCTGCCGATTTCACCCCGGGGCCGGGGGATCTACCCAGCAGCCCGACGGCGCGCCCTGGGGCACCGCGTGTTCCCCGCGCGCCGGGTGCCACCAGGCCAGCAGGGGAGGGGGGCTTCTTTTGAAGACTCCAGCCAAGCCAAGACCCCCCGAACCTAAGGAAGCCCCTTCGATCTCCAACACCAACAACCCCCTCCGTAGTGCGCACACTCTCCCCTGGCTCTCGCTTCCTCTTCAGCCCCCAACTCTCAGCCAGCGGGGTCCCCGAGAACGCAGCCACTTTCTCCCGACGCCGTCACACGCACGCGCGTGTGCAGTCACTACACCCACACACTGACACGCAGAAACACACACACACACACCAGCCCGCTTTCCGCGTGCGGCCCCCAAAAGGTCATGAATATTCATTACTCACAGGCGTTGGTGACTGCGAAGCTGTTGGCTACCTCCAAATTGTCGATGTGGGGTGTCAGTCTGAACTCCGAAGTGGAAAACTGAACCATCCCTACACGAAATGCACTGTATTCCTGATCGGCGCCCCTGGGAAACAGCCCCCCTGCAAGGAACAAACACCAAGCAAGGAGGACAGTGTCAGTGGCCGAGGGGAGAAGAGGAGCCCGCTAGCGGGGGACTGCCCAGGAGTCCCTGGTTCACGTTAATAGGACGAATAAACACATCCCTGGACCTGGGCAACAGGAGAGCGGGGGTGGATATTCAAAGGGTATAGACCAGACACGGAGGGGGTCAAGATACGAAGGAGCTCGGGGGCCAGGGGGGTGGCCAAAACGTTCTCCCTCCCTAGTGATCACAAGCTGTGCATTCAGACCCCAAGAGACTCTGAACAAACGGGAAAATGTTGTTAAGGCGAAATGAATAAAATTGGGGGGTTCGAAAAGAGAAGACCTTTCCCTCTGTTGTATCAGAGACACAATCTTTTGCCTTTGCTTCATCCTAAGAAAAACATGTATATTCTAGGCAATTTAAATCTGGAATGCAGTCAAGGTATGACATAAGTCTACATGACATGAATTAATTTGTCCACCGTGAACAAAGATTACCACCAAATTATGCACAATTCAAAAGCAGAGCACAAAGGGTACCTACCTATCTGTATGCTGTTAGAAGAGACACCAAAAATCAGTCCCCACAAAACAGGAGAAAGGAGGACAGATATATGCATAATCTTTTGCATTTCCAAGAAAAGTAGAGCATCCACAAAATACCCTTTCTTTTTTATTTTTCCTTTTCCTCCTCTTCCTTCTTTGGCCGTTTTCCTGGGCAAATTAGATCCTCTGCATTTTGAGACAGCAATTTAGCACCAAGCTGCTAAAAACCAGAAGTGGAGGCAGAAGAATCCCTATTTCCAGGTCCTGCGGGTGGCTGCCGCCCTGCGCCCCGCGCCTGCTCCGAAGTCCGGAGGACCGGCTAGATGCAGTTTCCAGCAGGCTGCCGCTGTGGTCCCAGCGCCTCGGAACGCTCAGCACCCTCCCATGCGCTCACACACTCGCCCTCGCGCGCTTCTCCCTCTCCCCTCTCTCACACGCGCGCGCGCGCACACACACATACACACACACACAGACACACGCGAGTCACAGACCGGCAGGCGGGCCCGGCGCGCGTGCGCGAGGCGCGGGGGGCGGCTGGCGCGCCCCTCCCCCGCCCACCCCGCGCGCCCCGGCGTCTCGCGCGCGCAGGGCTGGGAGCGAGGCTTGGAGCCGGGCCGCCGCTGACCCTCGGGAGAGACCTCCGGTCTCGCGAGCTGTCGCGCCCACCAGTGATCTGCCTTTCAGCACCGCGGACAGCGCCCCACTCCCTTCCGCGCTACCCTTGTGCCTCCGCTGCCACTGCAGCGGAGATAGATGCTCCAGCCTGGACCAAATGCAGCAAAGCCCACTTCCGGCTGCCGTGCAGAAGCCGAACTGCTAATTGCTGTTGGCGGTGAAGCGTTCTCTCACCAGGCCCTGCTGTCTTAGGATGCAAACAATGCTAATTTTTGTCTTCTATAGCCTGCAAATCCCACCTAGCGATAGAGAAACGCTGCCACCCACCTTAACCTGACCCGCAGGAAAGCAAACAAAACACTCATGAAGAAGTGCTCCAAAAGTGTGAACTTTAGCTAAATGGGACGTAGCAGGATCCAAGGAAAACCTAAAATTCTATCTTTAAAGGTCAAAACCGCATAGGAGAAGATCAAGGTTGAATCTTTGGAACACTTTGCATGAAAATCGCATTTTTACACTGTGCTCCACCGGGCTGTGACACGAACTTGCTCAGCCTGATGTGTGCGGGTCCCTCTCGCAATTTTCAAGGCAGACTACCAGACCCCTCCCATCGTACCCCTTCCCCCTCACACACACAAACACACAGTAAAGACCTGTAGTCTGGACTTCTTAGATCCCCGTCTGTATTACAGATCGAAAGCAAGAAGACTCTCTTTGAACTAAAGTCTCGTAGGAGAAAGAGAAGACGAAGCTAGTCTTGAAAGGCCGCTGAGCTGCACAACCTTTCCCAGAGGCTTACTAGAAACCGGATACTCCGTCGCATTTTTGGCCGTGAGTTTTGAAAATAATCGGCGCCCAAAGAAAGTGAAGCAAGCTCTCATCTCTTTGAACCCGCGAACTGGAGACCACTGGAGGAAAAAGATGAGGTTAGGGATTAAAAGTTTGGGGGAAGGGAGTTGGTGGGGAGGATGGACGCCTGGATTTCCCCTTGGGGATTTACGCACCTCATACTGCCTGCCAAGCGGACGCCTGGGACCTGCTTTGGCAGAAATTCCTCACGGAGTTTATGGCTTTAGTGGTTTAAACAAAGCAATAAAGGATGCTTGAGTACAAGGGACTGTTTCCAGGAGGCTGGAGATTGGAGCCCACATAACAGAAGGAGTAGCCTAGTGATATTTCAGAATGCCAAGTGTTAGTCTACTGTGCGTCTTTCCCGTGCAATTGTCACAGTAATATCGCTAGTGTCACCTCCTGTTGACTGTTGCATCTTATTCTCCCCCTTAATCACTTCGGGCCTCAACTTTTAAAATGTGAAAGATGAGCAAAGTGGACTCTATGATTCTCTAATCATGTAATTCTGGGATTTCAAGTCATAGTCTTTCCCTCTTTTTGATTTTCTATATGTATTCCTAAGCCAGGAAGTAAAAGAATCCATGATCTATTAATAAGATTTTATACTATAGGTAAAAATACCACTCAATTCTATCACCAGGAATTTATTTTAATCCATTAATATACACTTCTATGTATATGAGACAGGTGTTGTGAGTCAAAATGACTTTAAAAATTTTTTTAAAGCCTTTTAAAAATTAAGAATGAAAATAGTAAGGAAGACATACATAAATATATATCCACATTTACAGTATAAAGAATAATTAAATGCATCTGATCTATTCAATCACTAGTAGTGATGAAAGGCACAGAAATGATTTGCATTATTCTCTATTTGAACTCTTTATTATACAAAAGATTGAATAACAACTCAGAGCAAAATAGAAAATTTTTCAGCCATCGTTTTTCTTCATTCAGTTTTCCCTGAAAGAAAAACTTAAACTTCGTATCAAATAACTAGTAATGAATGGAAAGAGAGAGAGAGACAGAAGGTTAAATGTGGAGAATTGGTCATGTTTAAAGAATGGGTCAATGTAAATTAATTTTTTTTAAAGAGGTCGCTTCAAAAGCTATTTTTATCATAATCTATTTCAAAGTCAAGGACAAAGATGCACTCAGAATTGACTGAATTACAATCTATAAAAATAAATAATATAAAATAAGAATTTGCTGAATCATAGAAACATTTTTCCTAGTAACTAATATGTACGATTTCAAGGAAATATTACTGTTTAGTGAACAACTATAATTCATATATAAAATAGAAATAATTTAGTAGGCATTACTTGTAATTCAACTATTACTTTGTTACTGTCTTTCACAAGGCAGGTACTTTCCATCAAATAAAGACAGATAAATCTCTTGCACTATTGGCATTGTTGTGCTTGTATTATCATTAATGAAACTTTTTCAAATTCACTATAGTATTTATCATATAGCATTTTTCAGGCATAGAATACTGTCAGTATAAATGTAATAAATTTAAACTGACTGAAGGAAGTGGTTATGCAAACAAATTAAAAATACTATAATTTATTTTTAATACTTAGAAACTTCCTGTTTCAAGAGTATATCTCATATTGATCAGTAGTAAAATCAAATTTGAAAATTTCAAAACTACTGAGACTAAAATTGAATAGAATAGTGTGCTCAAAAACACAGTTTGCTATTCTCTGCCCTCTGCTGTTCAATTTTGGTAATTGTCTAAAATGCAAGCATTGCTATGAAACAAGGATAAATAACAGTACAAATGGAAGAAATAAAAATATTAACCGTTCTATCATTTGTTTGTATGTTTGGTCGCTTTCACTGTTGTTGTTTTTTGTGTATGCTTAAATATAATCTTAGCATTAGGCTAGAAATAAATGTTATACATAACATTTTCATTTCTATTTTACTCAGTCTTTTCTTCAGTATAAGAAACAATTATTTTCTTTTAAAATCTGCTTTGAAATGCTTAGGATTTTATATATGCTTACAAATTCTGTGTAGTTTTAATTTGTGTTCCAAAATGAAAAAGCATTTAGGAAAGTCATTATGGAGGGGTTGGGTGGAGTGTGGGGGTAACAACTTTGAAATGACTGGCAGATCAAATTTTAGCTGAATTCCTTATCAAAATTGGATTATTAATGTCAGCACCATGGGCCCCAGCAATGAAGTGACAAGAAGTTTCCTGCCTTCCTATTGATCCTCTGGAACTGGGAAGTCTATCTGAAAGGCTCGGATACAACTTAGCATTAAAAGGAAAGTGGCTCCATGCTCCTTTCAGCAGGAGATAGCAAGGGTAGCAGATCCTACAGAATGAACCTAGGTCCCAAACATGAGACATTATTGACTGAGACAGAAAAATTATAGAACAGAAGAGAAAACATGGGGATTTTAATCACTCAGGATTGGAAGTAGAGATATTCATTCTGGGGAGTTTCAGTTCTTTAATTAAAATAATGAATAATGCTAATAAAAATAGCTATTCAGAATGAGACAGTATTGATTATTCTTTTCTTTGTGACACACTTTTAAATCACTGATTGAATAAGATCAACTACACGATTCAAAACACATATCTGAAGTCAAACTTTTGTGTATTTTTGTAGAACTTAGAATGAAGTACAAAAATTGAATGAATAAGTGAAGTTTTCATTTCATTTTGCTTGGGGCTCTGATTATATGGATTTTAATTAACTTTACCCGCAAATGATCCTGTAGCAGAAATATTTATTGGAAAAGTGTTTCAATTCATTAATTAATTTAACAAGCTAAACATGACAAGGATATTCTGGATAATGGTTTCCAGGATAGCTCAGTTGGTAAAGAATCTGCCTGCAATGCAGTAGACCCTGGTTCGATTCCTGGTTCAGGAAGATCCGCTCTAGAAGGGATAGGCTATCCACTCCGGTATTCTTGGGTTTCCCTGGTGGCTCAGATAGTAAAGAATCCACCTGCAATGCAGGAGAGCTGGGTTCAATCCCTGGGTTGGGAAGATTTTAGATAATAAACTTGACACAACGGGTAAAAGATGGACAGAAAAGAAGCCTTCCACAGGAAGTTTCCAGACTTCATTCAAGTAGGCAAATGATTAAGGCCTCATTAAATGAGTTTGGAAGTGTTCTTTCCTTTTCGGACTTTTGGAAGTGTTTGAGAAAGACTGGTATTAATTCTTCTTTAAATATTTGGTAGAATTCACCAGAGAAACCATCTTACCTTGTACTTTTTTTTGTTGTAGTTGTTGGAGGTTTTTGTTTACTTATTCAGTCTCTTTACTAGTAATTGGCTTGCTCAGACCTTGTATTTCTTCATGATTCAATCTTTATGACCACTATCTTGAACTCTCTATTGAGTAACTTGTGTATCTACATTTCAATAAGATCTGTTTTCTGGAGATTTCTCTTGTACTTTTGTTTAGAATGTGTTAACTCTGTTTCTTCATTTCCCTTGACTCTGTGTGTGGTTCTCTGCACATTAGATAAAATGGCCACCTCTCCCAGTCTTGACAGAGCGGTCTGGAGTAGAAGATAACCCTTGTCAGTCAGACTGGCCTAAGCTCCTGGTTGTCTCGGAAACCTCTTTAATTGTCCAAGCC